AGTGGGACCCCAGGGAAAGGGCCTCATGTGTCACACTAGGGAGTTCGAACATTATAAGGTTGGAGGGTTTTAAAGCAGAGTGATACATTCAGAATCTCTGGGGGCAGGGTCTTTTTAAAAGTTCCCCTCCCCCCAGATGATTCCAGTGTGTGGCCACGGTCTAGGGTGGGTTGGTTAGCTCAAACAACTTACACCGGTAACTAGATCGTGGGTGATGTAAAGAAAAGCCATTCTGTTTTAAGAAGTTATGAGAACTTTTATCCTCACCACCCCCACTTAAATATCAGACTAATCTGTGGTCTTAGAGGCCTGGCATCCTGTGGGATTCATTAGGCTGCAGAACATATATTCTGTCTGAGTTACAAAGAAGCATGCTAATCATGGCAAAAATTAGAGAGAGAAAAAAAAAAAACACCTGTTAACCTTAAAGATTAAGGGGTCCAAACTTCACCAAATACTACCTACCCCTGACCTGCCAACATTTTAGTTAATTCCGGTACCATTTTGCCTATCATATAAAGATTTTAAAAGTTAATTTAAAAATCTTAATACCAGAGGGATGAATGAAAAAGGAACAAAACTTACTCCTACAAAAATTAAAGGAAATCTAAACAAAACAAACTTTTTCTTACCCCCTTTTTGGCCTATACCCCGACCTCGAACTGTTTTTGTTTTATCTAATTTCTCTTCCAGTTTGTATCTTGGTCATTGTAAACTTTTGTTTCTCTACACCTCAAGGCTTTCTGTAAACCTTTCCCTTTTGCAATACAATTGTTTTTGGTGTTTGTGTAATATACTCCATCAAACTGATATTCCAAAATTTATCGCCCATTCCTTTAGTGCTCGACATTAACATTATTCCCATCTTCTCTCTATTATAAATAATAGGAACGAGAACATCTTTGTATATATAGCTTTTTTCCTGCGTTTGAATTATATCCTTAGGATTAATTCCCAGGAGTGGAATTAGTGGGTCAAAGGGTATGAACAGCTTTATGGCTCTTGGTATTTATTGCTAAGCTGCCCAGGGGTCATTCTAATTTACAATGCCACCTGCAACACACGAGGGTAGCTGTCTCTCCCGGCTCCGCCAACACTGCTTTCTTCAGTCAGTCGTTGTGGGCAGATTTAATAGATATTAAAGGGTAACTCATGACTGTTTTTTAATTTTTAGTTTCTTTAATTATTATTAACATTGGACGTTTTTTTTCTTCAGTGTGTTTCTTATCATATTCTATTTCATAGGTTTGCTTTCCATATCAGAAGATTATATTTTTTGACACCAGGTGCAATTTAAAATATTTTATAATGAAAATGTCAAATGCACTTAGAACAGAAAGAATAATCAGTGAAGTCCCCTAGACTCATTACCCAGATTCAACAATGGCAAGGACTGGCCACATTTGCTTTTTTAACGGATCTCAGACACTGCGTATTTTCCTACATTCTTTACTCTACACCTCTAAAACACATGGGATTTTTCTTATGTAATTACAATGCCAGTATCTACTTAACAAACTTCATGGTAATTCCTTGGTATCCTTTAATACCAATCTGTCATTAAACTTTCCCAAATGTCTTAAACACATCTTTTTACTGGTGGCTTATTCCAGTCGGCGTATAGACAAGGTCCCTTACGTTGGGTTGTTACGTTTCTAAAGTCTCTTAATCTAGAGCACGCTGCCTTCTGCGTGTCTCCTCTCCCATTCCTCCGACCCTCTGATTTACTGCTGGAACCGAGGCAGTTGTCCTGCAAAAGAAGACCCCATATTCTGGACTGGACTGTTTCCTTTTAGCTCTAGAAGCTGGACTAGATTCAGATTCAACATTTTTATAAGATTGGGTCGCGAGTGACGCTGCATGCTCCCTGTTGTAGTACATCAGAAGCACACAATGTCTGGTTGTCCCACTTGGGGTGATGCTACGGATGATCATGGGTTCAGGTGGCGGCAGCCCAATAGCACAGTCGTCAGGTTCCCTGTTATGGATTGAATTGTGTCCCCCCAAAATATGTGTTGTAAACCCTAACCTCTATGGAGCCCTGGTGGCACAGTGGTTAAGAGCTCGGCTGCTAACCAACAGGTTGGTAGTTTGAATCTACCGGAGTCTCCTTGAAAACTCTATGGGGCAGTTCTACTCTGTCTTATGGGTCACTGTGTGTCGGAATCTACTCAATGGCAATGGGATGACTGTGGTTATAATCCCATTTGGGAATGGGTTGTCTTTGTCAATGAGACAGGATTAGTGTAGGGTGTGTCTTGAGTCAGTCTCTTTTGAGATATAAAAAAACTTAAGCAAGCAGAGCAGAGATGGAGGAAGAGATGCCAAGCCACATGAAGATAGCCCAGGAGCAGAAGCTCAGAAGAGACGAGGACCTTCCTCCAGAGCCGACAGAGAGAGAAAGCCTTCCCCTAGAGCTGGCTCCCTGAATTTGAATTCCTAGCCTTCTAACTGTGAGAGAATAAACTTCTGATTGTTAAAGCCATCCACCTGCAGTATTTCTGTTATAGCAGCATTAGATGACTAAGACTTTCCCCATCAGCTTTGTGCCTCCTTGTTTCAGCTGTTGATGATCGTGGCTTGAATCAGTTATTTGATAGGAGCTGCAAAATGGTGATTTTCTAATTCTCTCATTCCTTCCTCATTTATTAACTGGAATTCTTCTGTAAAGTAGAACTTTTCCCTCATAAACGAGGGCTTTTTAGTAACTGTAAAACACAATTTGTACAAATAAGGCAGGATAAATGCTTTATTCTTTGCTCTAAATCGCCAAGTTAGGAGTTGGTGCCCTTGTGACTCCAGTGGTGTCCAGTGAGTTGTTGCTGTTTGTTCTCTTTAAGAATCATAAAAAACACATTCTTTTGAAATATATATATTACATATATATATTTTACACACATATATATTTTCACATATATATATATTGCATATATTTTTTAAATGTGTTTTAATCAATTACATTCCTTTTGTTTTGATGCTCAGATTGTTCCATCCTTGGCCAAACGGAGACCCTTCATGTCCCTGTTTTCAGGCCTGACGGGTTATGTCAGGCTCGTCTTGTGTATTTCTTGCCGTTCCTCCAACGTGCTCCAACGTGCTCTGTGTTTTCTTAGTGGGGAATGGTATTCAGAAACCACAATCTGAATATATTGTGTGTTGTTGTTACTGTTTCCAAGTTTTCTCAGTGGGTAGAGCTTAGAAATGCATATTTTACAAAAGAAAGTGAAAGATGATGTGTTCATACTGATATTTCCATTCCAAATTTAACAATAACTTTTTTATTTCTTAGATTTCTTACTTGCATTTCTTTTCTTTCACACGAAGTATCTTGGTTTGAAACATCATTATGCTGCAATATATATATCAGAAAGTTTACAGAAAGTACCAATATCACAACTAACAATTTTCTTAGTGAATGAGAGATTTCTTTGAAATTTCATTTATCCTTCTAATACGTTCCACTAAAACTATATAAATTACTGGGTTCCCACACTTGACTTAATTCCTTCACCAATTTGACACACAGTTATGTTCTTTCATTTCAGTTGGTTTTCAGGTTTTGGGGTTCACTTTTTTCCTCTTGTTTAATGTTAATTTTTTTGCATCTGTCAAATATGTTTTAAATGTAAAACAGTGTAATACGGTATTATCAGGAAGTCTTCTGTTCTGTCTCCCCACTTAATGTCCTCTGTCCCCAAATGGTAACTGTTTCTGAATAATTCGGTTATCATCAGGTTAGGATGCGCCCTGGTTTAGTTAAGTGGCCACTTAGTGATGGAGTTTTGTCTTGCGTTCCCTAAAAACCAAAACTCCTACACCCAAGTCATTTCACATTTTGGCCAGTGCATGTTTGGGATCTCTTCCTAGAAATGGGATTGCTGGGTAAAACAGTAAATGTACCTTTTCTAGATATAGATTTGTTAGATACTAGAGGCCCTTCAATAGGACTTGTAGCATTTTTTTACTAAGAAGGATTTTCTGAAAAGATTTTGGGAATGCTTAAATTCAGTATACTAGACTGTTGGAAAGGCAGCGTGTTCTTAAAATCCACAAGTTATTTCTCGAATCTGCACGTTGTTCCCACTATGGCCCAAGGCACGTCCTGGCGTAGAGTACTATAGTTCCTGTTTGGGGGACATATTGTTTTTCTTTGTTGTTGTTGGTTGCCCTCAAGTTGGCTCCAACTCATGGCAACCTTGCGTATAACAGAATGAACCATTGCTCGCTCCAGCGCCATCTTCACAATTATCGGTATGTTTGCGACCATTGTGTTAATCCATCTCATCCAGAGTTTGCCTCATTTTCACTGACCCTCTGTTTTACCAAACATGAAGTCCGTTTCTAGTGATTGGTCTTTGCTGGTTTGTCCAGGGAGACGTAATATCTGAGTGAAAAACAGAGACAGAGGGGTCCAAGATAGAACATGTCACAAAGACAAAAGTGAAGACCCAGCTCAAGCCTCACCTCTGTAGGAAGCCTCCCCAGCTGACTTTCGGCCACACGACGCCCTGATCCCCTGAATTTCATTCATTAGCACTTTCAGTGACAGTGATCCTTTTCCCAAACCAACACTTGACACTTGGTTCAACAAATATGAGTGTACTAACGGGGAGAACAGCACTGCATGTTCCCGATCTGGGCTGCCTCATAAACTCACATTGAATAATCATTACATGTAGAGTTGCATCTGCCGTTTCCCATAGCAGGTTTTCTGGAAACCTGGGCTTACTAAAGGTTACAAGGTGAAATCATACTGAAGATGCTGGATTAACCTTAATGAGATGTGACTCTCCAAAATCCTGTTGGCTATCCCAAGCGTACTTGGACGTAGGATCCCCCTGTGCGCAGGACATCTTATACTAATACTGTTCCTTGGAGCACAAAGAACCAGTGTGTAGCTTCTGTTTAAATAAACCCAAAAACTTCTCTTCCAGTTGATTTACTTGTATTTATATAATTCTGTACTTTTGATTAATAATATTTATTTGGTTTCTTTATAGATTGAATCGTTAAAGAAAAAGGTGCAGCAGAAACAGCTCTTAATATTGCAACTTTTAGAAAAGATATCTTTCTTGGAAGGAGAGGTAAGAAGCTATGTTTCTTTAAGATGGTGTCTACGCTACCATTAAATTTTATGTTTCTGAGCCTACCACCAACACTTAATTAAAAACATAGCTATTTTCTGGCCTTATAAAATTGATTGAAGGTTAACTGCCAACTCCGAAAATGAGGTTCTGACGGCTAGTTTGTCTACACCTGACCCGCTCGCTCCAGCGGGCTGTTCACCTCTGCTTTCTGGGTCTTCTTCTTCTTGCTCAAGAATTTTCTTCGCAAGTCTGACAAGCTGTTGATTAATACTGATCATTTCCCGTATTTGCGATGTGCTTTATAACTTGTATTTTCACGTATAGCCCTCACATAATTCTCTCAAAGATTTTTATAGCTACGTTAATAAATGAAAACAATGGAGGCACTGAGACGCCAGTGGTTTTGCTCAAAGTCACCCAGCTTAGTGAGTGCCAGAGCCGGGCTGAAAGACCTGGGGTCGGGGCGAGGGGAAGGGGAGGAAAAGAACCTGTTGCCGTGGAGTCAGTTCCAACTCCTAGTGACCCTACAGGACAGAGTAAAACTACCTCGTAGGGTTTCCGAGGCAGTGGTTAAAGCGGTTGGCTGCTAACCAGAAGGCTGGTGGTTTGAACCCACTCGGCAGAAGAAAGATGTGGCAGTCTGGTTCCGTAAAGATTTACAGCCTTGGAAACTCTATAGGGTCGCAGTCTTAGTTTTCCAGTGCTGCTATAACAGAAATCCCACAAGTGGATGGCTTTAACAAAGAAAAGTTTATTTCCTCACAGTAAAGTAGGCTAAAAGTCCAAATTCAGGGCGTCAGCTCCAGGGAAAGGCTTTCTCTCTCTGTCGGCCTTCTCATCAATCTTCCCCCAGACTAGAAGCTTCCCTGCGCAGAGACCAGGGTCCAAAGGACACACTCTGCTCCTGGCACTGCATTCTTGGTGGTATGAGGTCCCCCAGTCTCTGCTTCCCTTTCCTTTTATCTCTTGTAAGATAAAAGGTGGTGCAGGGCACACCCCAGGGAAACTCCTATTATGTAGGATCTGGAATGTGACCTGGGTAAGGGTGTTACAATCCCACCCTAATTTTCTTTAACATAAAATCACAACCACAAAATGGAGGACAACCACACAGTACTGGGAATCAGAGCCCAGCCAAACTGATGCACACATTTTTGGGGGGAAATAATTCAATCCATGACAGTTGCTAATGAGTCAGAATCAACTCAACAGCCGTGGATTTGGGGTTTTGTTTGGAATATTTACAGAAGCAGACTGCCACATCTTTCTCCTGTGGAGCAGCGAGGGAGTTTGAACCCCCGACTTTTTCAGTTAGCAGTTGAGCACATTAACCACTGTGCCACCAGGGCTCCTTGAACATGTTTTAGAGGTGACTTAGTTTTACCTGAAACTTTAAGATACTTAGTATTCCCAGCTTTCTTGTCTTTTGAGGGTCATTTTGTGAATTTTGTATAGGTTCCAGACAAGGAAATTATGGGATAAGAAGTACCTTAAGAGCTTAGGTATTAATAGAAAGAGAAGCCAGAACCTCTTGGCTCTGAACGCTCTTTATTAAGAGTTCGGCATGGAGCCCTTTCTTTTCGAGCCTCTTCGGTTTGCCAGGTATCTGTCCTTGTCTGTGTTCCTCGTTATGGTCCTTCCCCATGAGAGAGAGAGCCCAGGAGAGAGTATGAAGTAGGAGGAAGGAAGGAAAGAACATTTATTAAGCACCTAGTGTGTGCTGGGCACTGTTCAACACTCCCATATGTCCTGTATGTTGAATAGGCTCAGAGTGGAATCAGACTCACTCAGGTGTGAACCCTGGGTCTGCTTCTTGTAAGCGGGGTGACCCTGGAGAGGTTTTATCTGATCATGAAAGGAGGATGATAACAGCACCTATATGTGTGTGACAACGCAATGAGAAGTCACATCACATAGCGACCGGGCGTGTAAACCACGCAGGGACTCCTGGCGCGTACTGAACTCTTGCTATTTGTTAACTATGATTGTTCTCTCTGTTAAAAGGGTGCCCCTGAGTTAGACTGTATTTCACTCCTTTAATAGATAGGGAAACTGAGATTCAGGGACACGAAGGAACCTGCCCAAGGTTGCAGGTACAGAGGGGTCACCTGAATCCAGAGCCTGAGCTCTTAATCACCATGTTTTCTGGAGTGGTGAGCTACATCTTCATTTACTCTCTCTTTTTGAGGGACTGTCTACCAGTCATTCTCAGAAGTCCCACATGGCCATGGGGACCTGAATCCTGGGTGGCCCGTGGACACCTGAGTCCCAGGTGGCCTGTGGGGACCTGGTGACAGAGTCAAGGCCCAGGAGTCTCAGTCTCCCGACAATGGAGGAAGTAGGCACTTGTCCCACCCCGCCCTATCTTCTCCCCCACGGTCACTGGGTCCAGCTCAGCTGATGAAGAACATTTCTGTTTCTGAGATTTCGCTCTGAAATCGCAGCTCCCCAGTGTTAGTTACCTGTGTTTCAACTCCTTAGATTCCATCTTGCATCCACCCCTCCAAATTCCTAAAGCTTGGCCCCATCAGACAGGGTTTTAATCAACCGATTCAAAATAGTCCTGATAAAAAAAATCTACCCATTTGTTTTTTTCTTTTCTTATTTCCAAACACATATATATTTGCTCACCTTCTGGAGGAGAGAGATTTTATTCCCTCTTTCCAGGGTAGAGAATACTATTAAAATAAAATTACAAGGCATATATCTTCATAAGATAGATAAGCTTTCTGATACTCTGAGCAAATTCCATTCCATTTTTCTTACTGCTAGAAATCCTGAACTTGCAGCTAAATTCCAAGGTCAGAGGAGATCTTGCCTGTGGTGGTAAATACTTGAGCCTACGCGTGCAATAAAATTATGTAGAATTAAGCACACACACACACACACACATGAGTACAAGTAAAACTAGGCAGATATGAAAAAAATGATGGGTTTTATCAGTGTCAGTATCCTGACCGTGATATTGTAGTATAGTTTTGCAAGATGTTACACTGGGGGGAAGTGGGTGAAGGAGACACAGAATCTCTCTGTTTTATCTTTTTTATAACTGCAGGTGAATCTACAAGAATTTCAAAATAAAATTTTTTAATTAAAAAAAAAGTTTTAGAAAAAGTCAGAGGAAAGGAGTCAAATACCTTAATTTTGTCTGTCCTGCATTTAACGTGAGCTGTGTAATACATAAACGTCTCAGCGTGTCTGTTGTGCATACTTGGGGCTGTTATTAATTTCCCTGGGTAAACTGGGGTGGCAGCACAGACATCAGGGCCCTGCAGTTGAATTTTATTGGACACACATTCTTGTTCAGTGTGGGTGCTCCAGCCCCTAGCTGCTTGCTCCCCTGGGCCCGAGGGAGCTGGAGGCAAGCTGGCTGCCATACATTTGTGACAGAATTCACCCGCCTCCCAAAAAATGCCAAGTGGTATCACACAGGGTTCTTCCTTCCTGGAAGGCCCACAAGCCTCCAGAGCCACAGTGTGGTAGGCATTACACATATAAACACAAGGTGGTGGTATTTGAAAGCAGGAAAACCCTGGATTCTTAATCCCAGAGGCGGTTTTTTCCGGATCAGGGTCCAGGCGGCCATTGGAGATGATTCTTTGTCATTCTGCTCAGCCACATTCTGCAGGACCCAGGAGCAGAGGGTTTTACTGAGGGGACCTGTCGATTTTATTTATGAAGTATTTCTTAGATTTGTCACCTCCTTTCTCACTTTCCTGCTGCTGCCCACATTCAGGCTGTCACTATCTTTTATCTCTTTCTTATCAACTTTATTGTGTATTAATTTATGTAAATCAATTGCATCTATTTAAAGTGTATGGTTTGATGGGTTTTGAGAGTCGTATGTGCCTGTGAAACTACCATCCCAATCAAGATACAGAACTTTCTATCACTCCCCCAAATTCCCTGGTCCCTTTGACCTGTGTCTCTCCATTAGCCCAGGCAACCACTGAGTATTATTATTATTTTGCTCCCTTTTGTCCCCTTCGTCATCAGAGGTTTGTGTGCAGTTTATATAAATGGAACCATACTGTATGTACTTCTGTGTCTAGCTTCTTACACTCAGAGCAATATTTGAGATTCATCGTGTTCTTTGTCGTCTGTGTTCCGTTCCATTGCAGAGTGGCGGTCCATTGTATGACTATATCAGTTCTTTTATCCATTCACCTGCTTATATATGTTTGGGTATTTCCAGTTCGGGGCTGTTGTGACTAAAGCTGCTGTGAACATTCCTGTACAAGTCTTTGTGTGGACCCGTTTTCCTTTCTCTTGAGTAAATTTCTAGTACTGGAATAACTGGGCTGCATGGCGACTGCAGACTTCCCTTTTTAAGATATTGTCAGTTTTTTAAAGGAATTGCGGTGTTTTACATTCCCAGCGGCAATCTGAGTGTTCCAGTTTCTCCAAATCCCCACCATTTTTTTTTTTTAAATTCTCATCTCGCTTTTCATTTGCATTTCCCTGGTGACTAATGATGCTGAGCATCTTCTCAGATGCTTATTGGCCATTTGTGCATCTTATTTTGTGAATTGTCTGTTTAAATCGTTTGCCCATTATTTAATTGAGTTTTTGGTTTTCTTGTTATTGAGTTATAAGAGTTCTTTATATATTCCAGATAGTCCTTTGTCAGATACATGTATTTGTGGGCGTATTCTCCCATTCTATGACTGGCCTTTTTATTTTCTTAAGGATGTCTTTTGGGGAACAAAGATTTTTACTTGTAAAAAAGTTGAACTTCATTTTTTCTTTTATAGTTTGTGCTTTTTGTGTCTTATCTATGAACTCTGCTTACTGTGAGGTTATAGAGATTTTCTCCTATAATTTCCTCTAAGAATTTCATTTAGATCTATGATCCATTTTGAGTTAATTTTTATGTTTCATGTGAAGTAAGAATCTTTTTTTCTATACAGGTATATAATTGTTTCCTTTTAATTTCTCTCTAATTCCTAATATAACCAAACCAAATCTGGTGCCACTGAGTCGATTCTGACTCACAG